CTGGAAATGTAGGTCTATTTTGTGATGTAAATTGGAGGTTTTACAGTTACTGTGTACATTTTAATTTCACTGTTTTATCGCTATTTAGCTTCAGGGAATTGCAAACAAGTCATGCAAACAAAAGATAAGAGGCAGAAGCAGGAAATCAGAGGGAGAAGAAGTTATAACATAAGTCAGAGCATCACCCCCATAACAATGAGACTGAAGACCATGTATGTGTATACCTTGACCGAGAGGAAGCATATGAATAATAAGAAGTAGTGGGCCCAAGACTGAACTTTGCGGCACATCATGATTGACTGGGGCCATTAGCAATTTATGAGCACCAGGGGAAAATAAATGCTGCCAACAAGTCAGATAAGAGCAGAACCAGTTCAAGACCATTGTTAGATAAGAATATTTGCAAGTGATTGAGCAACACCCAATGCTCACAGTGTATAAAAAGCCTGCCTCACTAAGATCAAGGAGCATAGGGATACTTATAATAAGTAAATAATTTACAACCCTAGAATGGCAGTTTCAATGCTACAATTAAAGCAAAAACTGGACTGAAATGGTTCAAGCAAATCATTTGCTATCAAATATGCCTGAAATTAACATGTAACCCCACTAAAACCTTTAATTAGAAATTGGTCTGTAGTTCATCATTATATCAGAATCCAAGCCAGGGTTTTATTTATTATAGGAATGGGTGATGCAGTCTTTAAAGCAGTATGGACCACACGCAGGGAAAAGGAGGTGTTGATGATGTTGACAATTATATTGGGCAGATGTCTGGCAGACAATCTTTCAGTAAATAGGCAGAGATGGGATCTACAGTAGTTAAAGATCATCGAAAAATGTAAAGTAAGAGAAGTCAAAGCATTAGGGAGAACTGAAGACCTCTGTTCTGTTAATGAAGAAGATTTATAAATAATAGCAAAAATGAACTATACAGTAACTCACGGTACTATACTGCATTTCTCTGTTACTTATACTTCTGCAGTTCATTGTACTTTTTTGCACACTTTACTTTTTTGTTATCTGTGAAAAACACGGACCAGTTTGAGTATAATTTATGCTTCTTCAAGCTAAGCTATGTAAGACACCTGATTGTGCTACTTAAAATGAAACCAAGACTTCTATGTTTACCTGTAGATTCATGGAGAAGTTGAAGACTCACTAGAAGTCTAAGGCTGGGCCTGACACCTGTGCTCTGTGCTGTGCCACTGGCAAGTCCAAATCACCACTGGAAACACAGAGCAACCTGGACTTCCTGGTCAAAGATTGTAACAATTCAGAAATCTTAATTTAATTTGTGTTCCATTATAGAGCCAGGTCATACGTGAGTTTTCTTAACAGATATTTAATGCCGTGCTGTAAGTGGCCAATTTCCACCTGGAATTTTCTCCCCTTAAGTATTTTGTTGTATCTCTGCAGCAAAACATAGCAGAAGGCTGGTTCAAGTCTTATATTGAAGCTAACCCCCTTGGCATTAAGTGTAGACAATTTATTTTATTCCTTAATGTGTCCACTCAGTTGACAAACATATACAGAAAACAAAACAAAAAACAGCAAGCACATTTTTTTTCTGTCTTCAAGGATATTTTTTTTTCAACTTTTGAGCCTGGCAAACAGATGAAAATGCCTTGCCCTAGGTGTCTACTTGCTTGGATAAAAATCTGGGACAAATCAACAATGTTTTGTGAAGACTGAAATGAAGAATGAAATTTCACAAATCCCCAAAACATTTATAAATAATACTGAAAGTCAATACAAATGCATACATTCTACCGCAATTGCAATTAAAAACCTTTAGGCCCTGCTCAAGAGCATTTTTCTGCTGTAAGACATTGAAAAAAACTCTAGAGTGGCCTTCAGGTGTGAAGAAATGATCACCGATAAGAACCTGATTGATTACCACCTGCTGTGTTAATAATTGATAGCTGGAATACAGTTAGAACGCAGCCAGGGGCTCCCAGAGGAAGTCCCATCCCCTAAAGGATCTAAATGGCTGAAAATACAATGAATGACAGGGTTTTTACCCAATCAGAGCAGCTTGTTCAAGGCATTCAGTTTCAAAATTCAGTTCCAATAGCCAATAACCCTCGGCTTCCTCCAGGTCTGGAGATGAGTAAAGTTAATGTTTTATGGATATTTTAAATTTTTTTTGGGATGCCCCAAACAAGGGAAAACATGGGATATATATATATTTTTTTTGCTGGTTTTTGTTTAACTGGGTTTTTGATTACTTATCGACGCACTTTGGAAGTTTCCCAAAATACGTCAGCAGATAAAGTTTATTTAGGTTCTGTAAACGGTTTTGTGAAGCTCCGGTTGTCTAATTTTGATTGATTTTCTGATTTTGGGGATTGGTGAAATGCTATGAAATGTGATGTTTGTGTTAAGTAAATATTGACTCGGTGTGTCAAACGCTCGGTCCCTCGGGCGGTTCCGGGGGATTGCTAGGAGCTGTTTTCCCTGGTTTTTCTTAATTTAGGAAAATGTCAAATGAAACTGTATTATTTTACCCATCCTTATTTGCACTGATTTACCCCTTCCCTTCTTTTTCTTCAGCCACTTAATTTTAAAATGAACAAATCCCATTCTGGTGTATATTAATATTTTCTACTGTAATCTCCAGTTTATTTAAGGTCTAATCTGAGTATAGAGTAATTTCACTTTGAATGTGGGAAAAAAGACAGTGAGATTCTGAAAAATGAATTGCATTTAAAGCAATTTAGTATGATATTCATTTTTGGCAGACCACTCAAACTGTAAGTAAATAAAAATTGATTAATATCAACAATACAGTTTATTTTCAAAAATAAAAGCCCGAAAATCCTGCTGTTTGGACAAGATCACAAGAATGCCATATCCAGTACTCAAATATTTCTCACCCATATCTGAAAAACAAACACTATGGTAGTAAAAGTGAAGGTTGCAGATGAGACATTGGGCAAATATAATTTCTATTGATCTTAAGCATAACTCAGCATGATTTTTAGAATAAAGTATACTGCATGCATAGCTATAATATTATGACTTTCAAAACAGACATTTTGAATGGAAAATATAATAAGCAACCTGACAAGTCACTTGGAAGTCTTTTCATTTTTCTTTATTAGGTAAACTGCATGTTTCATAAAAGTCTAATCTGATGTTCTATCCAAGTAATTTAACAAATGTTGCATTTATGCAAAATTGTGCAATATATACAATGAAGATATTAATCAAAAATCCAAAAATAAATGAAGCCAATTTGATTAGAAAGCCCAGATGCACACTGTTGTCTTGTTCCAACCTTTGTTCCATAAAAAGATGAAAATGACTCAGTCTTTTTAATGGAATGTAATGGTTCAGTCTTAAATCAAGCCATAGAGGACAGCCAGTATCCTGCAGCACATACTGTTCCACTGCACACATGACTTGTGTAAAACAAGACAAATGGAAGCAGTGACAAAGATTGTGTTAGAGCATTTTCACAGATGAGACAGAAATCACACAAGAAAATCTACTGTGCTTTATTTCCAAATCAAATTAAAAAACGTACACAAGTACACAGGGAGTGCAAAGTGACTTTAATTCATAACTGTAAAACTTTAATGTTGGAACAAGTAATAGGTTAATTCCATGCCGAAAAGAGAAGAAAGAAAACACAACGTTTTCTTTCTTCTCTTTTCAGCATGGAATTAACCTATTGTTCCTTTGCAACCTACGCATGCTGACACAGCCACCCACCTAAACTTTCATTTTTTTTGTTAAAGTTGTAGTTTTTTTCAACTGTTTTTTTTTTTCTGATCATGGACATTGATTTGTCCACCTTAAAGACAACACATACATTTGCACGCCATTATCCACAAGATATTTTTTGGGCAGGAAAAGCAATTTAGTCCTTTATAAATAAAAAGCTGCAAATTGCAGACTGGTAAAAGATAATTATTGTCTTGAATATATCAGCAAAATTGCAGAGATAGCTTTTTGACTAAATTTTTGGTAAGAAGTGTGAAAATCTGATTGCTTTTAAAAAAAAACTTTGGCAGCATTGTTACGGTGTGTAGAGCACATTCAAAAACACAAATCCTTAGTTTAATTTGCCAGTCTCCTAAATTATCAATTAAACTTACAAGCATTGAAGTGTGTAAATCATTCTTAACACATTTAGAAAATTTAGACAGTTTCAGTTTGAATTTTTTAAAGCTCTCAAATTACATTATTATGTAAAACAACAACAGTACTGTATGTGCAATGGGATGTATTTTCTTAAATCCTTTGGTAATGTTCGTCCTTCCTGACTAATGCAAAGAATATGAATGTTATATTTGTACATATAAAATAATCCTGTATTTAAAGCAAAATGCTGTATCCCTTTTTGATAAAATGTTTACAGAAAATAAAAACCTCTTTGTTATTATAATTAATAAAGATTTTATGATGTCATTATCATAAATGATTATTTGATTTAGAAGAGTTGTGCAATATCTATTTAAGGCAAACACTATTACTGTACATTATAAATTACACTCAACCTAACTTTATGTAGATTCTCATTTCACGTTTGAATAGACATTGCAGCATTTTATACATAATTATCTCCTATAAATGCCACCTGAAGAACGGTCCACAGCCAGTTGTTTCTTTTCTTCTGTTTTCAGCATGGAATAAACCTTTACTTGTTCCTTTACCTCCTGTATACTGTATACTATGTTTTAAAATAAATGTTACACCACCATTATACTGTAACAGAACACCCCAAAGTTACCATTCCAGCGGTAAATATTCGGATCACATACAAAGTACAAATTTCTTTTTTTTCTCTATACTCTTCTTGATCTAAAGAACGCACTCCTATATCCCTATAGAAATGAAAATCTATGGGTTACAACACATACACTCCGATGGTCAATCGTTCCGCTTACTTACTGTGTATTGTTTCACGCACGGCCATTTTGAAAATGAGTTTCCCTTGACGATGACCATTCTCCGGTGGTCATCGTTGCTGCCAACGGGATAGAGCTCACCTCCCAGCAGGGCCGCTGCTGTCCTCGCTCTCCCACTGCTCGGTTTTGGTTCTCGGCACAGGAGGCTGCAGCATTTCGGCGGCCAGGGGATCCGCGTCGTGTTCCTCTCGGCCGACCCACTCCCCGATCACGCGGGGCCTCAGCAAGGAGCAGTTAAACGCCAGGGGGTCCTGAGCAAAACCAAGAACACGTGTGGGGTGCCGACAGTCTTCTGCTCCTCCATGCAATTACAGAGTCGGAGACAGAAGTACGGCGCTCTGTGCATTTTTCTTTTATGCCTACTTTCCTGTAGCTCACAAACCGCTTCCGACTCAATACAGCATGCTGCACACTGAAAACTGGAGCACTGCTTCAGATAAAAACCTTTCAGAAATCTGTTCAAGAGGGTTCAACCATGAACAAGAATACTGCATATTCTAGGATGTAGAGACAGAGGTTGGTGCAGAAGGTGAATTAGTTGCTGTAGTTGCATTTGTAGCGAGTTTACTGTGATCTCAGACGTACTTTGTTCGATGATTTCTCAACTAAATTAAAGGTAGAAGTTCATAACGGCCTCTTTGTTAACCAATGTTTCATTCTCATCAGTGTAGAAAGATCACTGGAGAAAGGCCTGGGATTTCCTAGTTGAAATGGGTAAAATAAATATAAAATGACATTTTTTAGCTCCAGGCTTTATTCTAAAAATAGAGAATGTAGACGGAAAGTAACAAAGTAATCACAAAGGTACAATAAAGTACTCTTATAGCATTAGAAATAATTACAGACACAGAAGAAAAACATTTTGTGAAACTAGAAAGAAAATATGTATGAAAGACTTCAGAGCAGCCACATGCTCATTGAGATCATTTTATGCTGATGTGTACTTGAGGCGGCTCACTTTATTTGCAGAAATCTCTCCTGGATCAACCTATCAATGAAAAGAATTTATATTAAAAAGTCTAAACAGTTTGGTTTGTCCCTACATTGCTTGAATTTTCAGCAGTAGGAGTTGTACACACACGCCTAGAGTCCTATTGTACATAACAGAACTACAGTAGGTGAAAACTGGAGTGCAGTCTGACGACAGGTGTAGTCTTCATTAGCTGAAGCATGGTTTTGTATTCTCTTTTCATGTGAGAGTTTCTTACTAAAAGCCACAGTGTTTAACAGAACATAAAAATGTACAGAAGTATCACTACTTACACCTATACAATACATGCCTTTAGGCATTATGACACTTTGTGAAGACAACCAGACATTGTAGCATGTCCATGCATTACATACTCATTTCTTTTCCTTCCATAGATCTTTCCAGTGCATTATATGTCATTATCAGACACCCTGGCTCATCAGTCCTAAGATCATCCTGGTTTCTGTTGTGCAGGTTGAGTAGAGAACACATAACTCACTCCCCTGGACAGGAGGCTTGTCCATCACCATACTGCTGGGTCTATACCCCAGCAATACTGGTCCCCAATTATACAACTAGGTGGACTGGAGCCACTGGGCTAAAGTACAGCAGGACCATCAATGGGAACCTGAACCCACAGCCCACCAGTAACCACCTACACAGTACAGTCTATACACACACAGCTCATGCTACTGAAATCAGAAATACAAGTTTAAAGTATCAGTCGTTGAGCTTGGAATTGTGATTACATGAGGTGCTGTAATATTTTGTAATGCGACAATATTTTTCAGATATGTCTCACATAACCCAGCAGTTTAAAAATAAAATGCTACCTCAGCATTCCAGGATACTTTAGGAACAGGTAACATTAGTGTTACTCCTCTTAGATTGATCCTCCAGAAGTATAAAATAATATCCTCAACATATATACATAGTGGTCTGAACTCCATTTAATATGTAATATGCTGTATTTAAGAAATATAGTAATAAGTCATTTAATATTGGATTCCCTATTGACCACATATTTAACTACTATTTAGCTTACAGTTTCTCCTGTCAGTATGCATGAAGTGGTTTAGCCTCTTCATAACCTGTCATAATCAGTATTGTGGACAAATAAACAACCTATATAAAAACGAAACCATGTACACAGAATGGGGGCTCACAGACTGAGAAAAAAAGCAATGGGAGGTAATTGAACAGATTGTGAATATAGGGGAAAGCATTCTCACATGCTGTTTCAGAAACAGCACTAGAACACATGCAACCTAGCCATGTTCCAAACGTCCTGCCATGCTAACTGTGCTGTACATCATTGCAAAACATATTCACTTCATTAAGTACAGCAGTTTAATTTGCTTCATTTTCGTACTATGGCAGTGTTCCAGCAGGAGTAAACAAATGAAAGACACCATCTGCCAATACAAAATTCTAAAGCCAGATCTAACTGGACAGATGCAGGATGCCTGTGACAAACAGAAAGCTGCGGTCAGGTCACTCTTCTGAATTCTGCTGTCAGAGATGAAGCTCTCCATGCTTAAGGGAATCTTTCGCACCATATTGAAGACCTGAATGCCACTTAGGTACACAATCTCCTTGGAGCTCAATCAAACCACTGGAGAATACAAAGACAGAAGATGGTTGGTGACAATCCTAACTAATTTAGTTTGCTCTGGGTTCTCTACACTTGCAACAAAGGCATACAGCACCTGCTCCCACATTATTTACACCACAGTTATATACAGTATTAGTTCAGTTCAATCTATATCCAGATAGACCACTTCTCTAGTCATTAAACACCAGATATAATATAACATTAAGAAAAAAATCAGGACTGGGCAAATGCCTCACTAAAGCCAATCTACAGGCACGGAGCATTACATACAGTACACGTAGCAGATACCTGCAGGGAAAAAATAATAGCAGCAAATGGAAATATCCAATTAAAACCAGAAACTGTGAATCCAGGCATGTTAGATTACACCTACAGTATGCAATGTACTGTACTGGTAATGCCTCATTTAAAATATTAAGATGAATTTGGTTATCGCATTAAAAAAAATATTACTGCTCCAGAATCAGTTCAAAGAGCAGCAACTACATACATTTAAGGCTTAAAAGAATGTTTTACACTGAATCTAAAACAGCTAAAATTTTAGCCTTGAATATAGAGGAGGGGACCTTCACAATTGTTTTTAAAACTAAAAACAGGAAGCACTTTTTATACATGGGAAGTAAAGGGGTGGACAGAGTCTGGAGCAAGTTACAAATTAATGATGTCGAAAGGGATACCCAAGCTTCTTTCACAAAGCAGCTGGATTAGATTTGGGTAATCAAAATAGCTAGGTAAGGCAAATTGCCTCCTATGTGTAATTGTTCTTTAAATTAAAATTTAAATTGTTTTGTAAATTCTTCTCATCAGAATATTAAACTGAAAACACTCTCAGCATCCTGTCACAGTGACTTTCTACTTGGTTTTCCATTCAGTCAAAATCTTGACTCAGAACATATCTATGCTGGTTGATATCTTGTTTTTTCACTTTATCATCCTAATGAGCTAATCCAAACTTCAGTGGAGAAGTAGGGTTAAGGCCAGGTGACTATTGAGGCCAATGTGTCGATTTGAAAACCTGCTGCTTTTCTTTATTTGAGAGATTCAAGTCACGTAACTGTTTATAGTCATCATCAAGTTGAAAAACATATTTCATGAGAATAAGTACATTCTTGATGGTAGCACATCAAGTTGAAGAATTTCTTTTTTACAAATTGTTAGCATATGTCTGTTACTAGGATTTCAATAATTTTTACAGCTACTCATAATTATGATCACAATGTTGTGTACAGTACATGTGTCACAAATTATCTGCTATGAGCTGAGTGCAGGATATTTAAAATGTTAGTGCTTGATATCTATATCTCTTAAGGCAAGATACAGTACCTAAGCAGCACTAGATAATTTAAACTTGGTATATCTAATGAATTAATTTGAGATATATTTCAAATTATCTCCTTACAGAAGACTTTAGAATCGCTGCTGCTGTTACTCTTTTCACGTACCCTGGCAGGATAAATTTTCAAATTTTAAAACTACTTCTACACACTTCAGACACAAGTGAAGTGATATCACACAAAGTGATATCAAGACAAGTTCAGTGGAATGATGTAACTAAAGAGGCAAAGCCTGCAAGATATATTCCAACATTATCAGACAATGGTTCCTAAACACAGCTTCTGCCATTAAATCTAGAACAGAAGAGCATGGATGAAATTAAATCAACAAATAAAAAGCTGAAAAATTCACCAATGGCACTAAATGCATTACAAACTAGGTATTCACATTAATATACTGTACAAACACATTTTTTTTATTAATTTGTATTAATAAACATGTCAGTACTGTTTAGTTGAAGTCAGTTCCCTCCAAGTTTGAATACACTTACTACTCTGTTAACACCACCAAAGATACATTGTTCTCCTCTGAAATGGGGAACAAAAGTGATGCATATCATTTAATGAGCTTCAGTGAGCTTTCTCCGAGTAACTAACCTTTTCCTAGTGTTCAGTGACTCTACTTCCATGGCCACCCAAAAATCAGTAACACAAAGAATCACTCCCCCCCATCCTCCCATCATATTCAATGTTGCTCCTATCTACCAACAAATCCTCACACTCCTATCTAGACCTGGATATAACGGAAGTTAGAATCAAGGATGACAAGGAATAGGGAATGATGCTGGCAAACTGTGCTCAATCCCAAGTGAAATGTAAAATTCTCATATTGTCATAAAAACAGGATAGTAAGGAATGTGCCTGTTACTTGTGCCACAGTCTGGTAACGAAAAGCTGGACCAACGTGTTTCATTCCCAGTTTGTGTATCTTTATTATTATGACTACCAGCACAATGATTATCATTACCACCGCTATGACACAGGATACAAACATTCATCTCTCCATTAAAATGGCCTCCACAGCTTTGTGAGTTTTGCACAGGTAGTTCATTTTAAAAGTCTGAGCCAAATCCCAAGGCAGAAACTGAGTATACAGCAAAATTGCATAAACAAAAGAATTTGCCAAGAAAGTCAAATAGTTTTGTATTTGCGTCACGTTACAGTAAACTTTCTTAATATTTAAAACATTCCTGAGGAAAATAGATAGCATATATATTAGTGCCTGAAAGGAACAAAATTAGATTTAAAATGCATTAATGTTAAATTGCCTGCTATTCATCCTCCTTTAAGGAATTCAATATATTAATCTCAGGACTCGGCTGGAGATCTGGGCATATAGCCAGAATGGCAGACAGGTACTGTAAATGAAACTCTTACATAACAGGTGCAGTGCTCCAATTAGCAATAACTCAAGTTTCTCAAAAATGTGCTGTCACGGCATTCTTGTTAAAGACATCTACCTATTTCAAATTCTTATTGTACTAAAGAAGAAATCTTAATGACAGTGAAAGAATTCAATATCAAGATTAGCACTGAAATGGCTGGTTAGAAAGAACATTAAGTATACGAGAATATGTGAAGAAGTCAGGCTACATAAAATTATTTTCAATTTAAAAAATGTTAAGCAATTAAAATTTGCTTAAAGTGTAAGGAATCCATAATAGTCATCAGCGTGATCTATTAGATATCCTGAAATCTACTGGCAAAAAGTATAACTTTACAGGACTTATCTTGCCAGTATGATAAAATGTGATAATATTATGCCAGTGTTGAAATTACAAAGGCAGTTGTCTTCAAAAAGATATACATAGGGATCTATAACAATATTCATCCATCCATTTGCTAACGGAATCTGAAAACTAACCAGGAAAAGATGTCCATCTTTGGCAAGACAAGCACAGTAATGAATGAACGACATTTTGAATAACCATAATATTTCTTATAGACAAATGAGTCTGTAAATGGGTAAACCCAACAGTGAACAAAAATATATTTTTGTATAACCAAAATATTTTTAAAATGAAATAAACTAGAATGATAGCCAATGTAAATAATTCAGTGTATAAATTTCTATGTCAGTTTTCCCTGCCAGATATCATATGAACAAACAGAACACGAGCCAGGGAACTTGTTTTCTCAGAGTGGTTGTTTTATGAGCGCTACACACTGAGGCTAAAACAAATGCCTGCTTTCCTAACAGCCTCTCCTGGCAGTCAATACCTTATACAACAGCTCATCTGTGTGAGCTCTTCTCAGCTGGAATGCTTTTCACTTCCTGGATATACACAACCTATTCCCAGCTCTTTACCATGTCATTTTAGGGCCTTCATGCATGTGTTTTAACCAGAGATAATTTTGTAGAATGTGCTTCTAACAGATAAACGTCTTTGTTTTCAAATTATCATTCATATCGTATCATATTTCTCTCCCCTGGTTCATAAATAATCTACTTTCATTCACTTGAGACTGTCTGGTGGCGTCTTAACGATTTTTTACTTTTAACATTACTGATTTTTTTTAAATGGGTCAAATGCATTATTGTTATCCCAGCACTAATACTTAAGAACAGGACTGGAAAAGTACGTAATCAAGTTGAGAGTGGAGCAATGGTGTTAAATTCATTAAAACACAGAGACTTCCTGTTAGATCACAGCACTTACTGTAAATGGACTTAAAAGCCTTCCTTCTGGGTACTGAATATCGCTTTTATGAACAGGACAGAGTAAGAACAACTATAACATGTTCTGCTTACATTCGACAGTATTGATTAATCCATTATTACAAAACGTAGGGCGTTTATAAAGTTGCCTGGCTGTGTCAAATAACATTACTGTGAAAACTGTGAAGAGTGGAGTAATTGAATTGGACATACACACTAATGGAAGCACTGGGAATGCATTCCAATCGAGAATGGCAATGGACAACAGAACACACATAGTCTTTAATGCAGTCAACCAGCGAAGCATAATCAGAAAACTGCTTCTTCTCTAAAGCAGCCCCCACAACAATGCAGAACCTATCCTGGGAACACATATTGCAAGGCAGGACTTGCACACTGGAAAGAATACACATCCATCTCTGGGCCTTAATGTTCTGTTTGTGTGACATAATTTAAAGCTATACAACATCAGGAACATCTTCAACATTGTAACTGAAACTAATATCAGTCCATAAAAAAATTAATGAAATTCTTAAGTGCATTCCTGACATTAAAGGAAACTATATTTGGCAAGAAATACACACAACAAATGAAATGGTTGTACTGTGATATAACAATAGCTCCTCAGCTGTTTATAGCACAGTTCTCTTTTAATTTTCATAACATATAAGGATCTAAGTTAAAAGGCCAGAATATGTGTTGTTGTAAAATAATATATAACAATTTTAATAAGTTAAGAGTCCCATGGAGTTTTAATCCACATTCCAACTGTAGACTTAAATCTACTGTAAACAGATAAAAGTTGTGAGTTTAGTATATCAAGAAGTAATCTGTACAGTGAGAATGTATTTGCCTAAAGAAAGAAGACATACATAAAAATATAAAATAAACATATGCACAGTGAATTGAAAAACAGTATGCCTGCCTGCTTTCACATCATGTGTGAAAAGAATGTTTGACATACCAACTGTTTACATCAAATTCTAAAATGTATGAGGACTAAAAAAACCGCAATGCAGTATTTAGAGAATGATTTAATAACTTGTTATATACAGTCTGAAAAACCCAAAGTGTTCTGAATAATTCACAGCACCACATGAAAAAGCACATTATTAGTATTAGTATTTATTTACCTGATCAAGTTCATCAGAAACTGCAATGCCTGTAAAACAATAAAGACATTTGTTTCAACAGGGCATTTTCCAGATACAATTCTTCTTCTTCCATATTAATTCAGTTTTTTATAAACTAAAGGCAGAAATGTTTAACATACAGTATATTTTTACATTTTTTGACGTGTGAACATTTGATGGCTGAACCGTAAAACTAAAATCTAATAGATTTCCTACTAGATTTGAGTTAGCCTTTTAGGTGTAACTTATGGTTTAAAGTTATTTGTAATAGTAATTATCATCATTATCGATCAAAGCGCTTTACAGGTAATGGGAACTCCTCTCCACCACCACCAATGTGCAGCCCCACCTGGATGATGCGACGGCAGCCATAGTGCACCAGAACGCTCACCACACACCAGCTCTCCGTGGGGAGGAGAGCAGAGTAATGAAGCCAATTCATAGATGGGGATTATTAGGAGGCCATGAATGGTAAGGGCCAATGGGAAATTTGGCCAGGACGCCGGGGTTACACCCCTACTCTTTTTGAGAAACGCCCTGGGATTTTTAATGACTGCAGAGAGTCAGGACCTCGGTTTTATGTCTCATCCGAAGGACGGCGCTTGTTTACGATATAGGGTCCCTGTCACTATACTGGGGCATTAGGACCCACACAGACTGCAGGGTGAGCGCCCCCTACTGGCATTACTGAAACCTCTCCCAGCAGTAGCCTCAGCTTTCCTAGGTCTCCCATCTATCTATTGGCCAGACTGAGCTTCAGTGAGTTGCCAGGTGTGAGCTGCTGGGTGATATAGCTTCTGGCATATACAGTACTGTAGAAATTACCCAAAAGATCTGCAACAACCACAACTAACATCCCTGAGAGACTTGCCTTTATATTCACACACCTAATTGTTTCACCCCATGTGAAAAAGCGCACTCTCAACAATTAAATCCATGTGAGAATGCATATAGGTAGATTAAAAGGTGAACAAATTACAAGTCTTTAAGAATCTACTGGTTTGCAAGCCCATGCAAATTACAGTTCTTTAATGAGACCGGTTGCCATAGTTACATTTGGGACTAGCGCTAATTGTTATAGTTTAGGTTTGACCATGAGTTATGGCAGGTGTTCAATGAAGGTCTATTTACATAATATTCTCATATCTCCAGGGCCCAGTCACACATATTAACAATGTGGCAAATAATCGTATTTTTCCAGAGGTTGATCTATTTAAAAGAAATTTAATTCTTACCTACATAATTGTTTACAAAAGATACACATAGGTTGCAAAACATAAAATATAATAAAATGGAGTCTAGTGCAAAATGTTTGTTTCTTTTCCACAGCCAGCCTTTTGATATCAATATTTTTATATAAAATATTTTGGTATTTGTTTTTAATACCATGCCACACATGAACATAAACCTGGTACTATATAATGTATACTATGCCCTCCATCTTAGTTTTTGGAATGTCTTAGGTTTAATACTTTCAGTTCAACTGAAAAACCTTTTGCAGTGGTTCATGTTTAACACACCACTGAAAATAATTCACAGAGTTCTACCTGAAGTCAGACTCAACGGAACAGCATTGCTTTCTCTTCAACGATGACAAAAGTTCCATAAGTGCTTTACAATTCTACTGATTATTTTCTCAGATATAAACATTTTATTTAAAGTAGCGGAAATCTTTCTTTATGTTGATCAAATTTATCAAAGGACCTAATTATGCAGCAGAACAAAGTCTTTCAACTTTCAACCCCTGCAGTTGGGGAGGTCTTGAGATTAGCACGTCTTCGTTTGTTTGCGATACAACAAAAGGGAGGTGGGTCATAAAATAATCAATGTTTGAATGAAAAAAGTGTACCCAAGTTTAAACCAAATATTTAAAAGTAATTTCAAACAAAATAAATATCCCTCTTGTTTCAAAAATAAATACCAGGTCCACAAGCTTTCACACCACTCAATATTCAATTCATGTTTGACTGGATGAATAAACAAGCAACTTATTTTAAGAACAACACTCTTTCTAGCAATTATAGCCTGACAAATAGCCTTTCTGCAAAAACATGTTTTTAGGCTGTGTTTTGAAGGATAAAATCTTTGAACGTGGGGAATGCAGAAAGAATAGCATACTCACTGCGTGACAAATTCTCCAGAGCCTTTCCCAGCTTTTTGCTTTCCTGCAGAATATGGTTCAGCTCATCAAAGTCATGGCTCTCTGGCCTGGTCCTCCAGTCCCATGAAGGATGCTCAATTGATCTTGGCACTGGAAATGGCCAAAAGAACAAACAGCATGACACTTTTTTATTTACAATATACTTCTCTGAAAAGACAGTTTCAGGCAAATTGCAGTGACACTTAGCAGTGCCGGAGCGAGGTTTTTGTTTATTTTTCAATTTTTCAAAAGAGCAGGAAAAACTGAACTGCTCAATTTCATGTCAGATATAGATTTTTCATTACATATTTAATGTTTTTAGTATTACCAAAACAAATGTAATGCATTTAAGATCATGCTAACCAAATTACGTTTTATATATTAGAATACAAATACTAATTATAAAACAATGTTATTTCCAAAAACTAATGAAAAACACAAAATCATTATTATGAATAATATTAAATAATATCACATGAAGATGTATCTGTATCTATTAAATATAAAATTGACCAGAAAACTTGTGTGTCATGTTTATTTAACTTTGGTGTAATAGCTGTGTTATAAATATTTGCTATTTGGGTTCCTATCGCTGTCCATTATGAAACTGCATGGCACTGTAACAAACATACACAGAAACATATACTGTACAGTGATTACAGTGAAAATACATTTGTGACATAAAATACAGTATGTTCTAGTGCAGGACATATTTTTGCTCAAGGACAGTGATGTTGTCGTCATGACCTCAAGAAATTATGGAGATAATCAAAAGTGAAATTTCCTCTGTTCTCTTTAAAATCAGGAAAACAATTTTCTATCCATTATTACTACCCTTTAAGTGACGTACTTAAAGTGACATACAGCACATGCCCCAAATAAAATGTTGAATTTCTATAAATGTCTCAAAAAAATTCTCAAAAATAAAGTTTTGTCTTTATGAAAAAAGACAGAATCTAAGATGAAGATTTCTACAATTATTTCTAGTATTCAACCATTTTTTGAAAGATTACAAAATTTTCACACTGTTAAATGTTGTAGCATCATTGCCTACAACGTTTTAATATTTTTTATATCTTAATGTCCAATTTACTTCTAAAATAAAACTTAGAATTAAAGCCTGAGGAATTGGATGGTTTCTCCCATTATCAATGGGAGAAAAAACAGCAAAGAATTTGAAGGCCTTAAGTAGTAAACTGCAAGGTGAACTACAGTACCTGAGTTACAGTGGTTGAGCAATTAAAGATCAATTCACTTTCAATCAATTCAATATTAACTAATTGTAATGAGCAAGGATGACCCACCCTGCGATATGCGAAATTTAAATTGAGGACTGAATTTTCAAGCTCATCAACAGGCACACTTAACAGGATAGTTGCTACATATCGCCAAACAGCAGGCTCAAAAATTACCGCAGAACTGAATCTACACCTCCACAATCCGTACTCAACAAAAAGTCATGAGCTTCACCAGGCTTATATTTATGGTAGGGCTGCCATTTAGAAACTACTTGAAAACAAGGCCAGAGCACAGCAATGCTTAACCTGGTGTAACGAGAACAAACTCTGAACGTCTGAACACTGGAAGAAAGTTACGTGATCTGATTAGTGGTATTTTAGTCTTTTCCTACATCTGGTTGGGTTTATGTTTGGAGAAAGCCAAAGGAAGCCTTCAACCCACATTGCCTGTTCTCAACTATTAATCCCAGTGGAGGTTCTTTTATTGTATGAGCAAGCATCTCTAAGGCCAAGGAATACAAAGCATTTTCAGCCACCAAGTGCACCCTACTGTATGGTGCACACATTGTTTACTCAAGATGTTCTGCTACTCCAAGATGATAACACCACCATTCACATTGCTAAACCGATTCATGACTGGTTTCATGAACACCGAGAGGAAGTCACACACCTTCCATGGCCTCTCCAGTCATCAGATCTAAACATCACTAAATCTTGACGGGAATTCCTGGAATGCAGAGCACAGAGTAGATTTCTACCTTCTTCATCTCTCAATGAACTGGTGGCTTTTCGTCTTGAAGCACTAGGAGCAGTCCAAAACTGGTATAACAGAATTCAATTACAGACTGAAGCTATTCTGTGTTTTTTTTCCTTCCCCACCATTGGGAGGGGGTGGGCATATGAGGAAGTACTGTACCTCTACTCTCAATACATTTTGCAACCCGACACCACAGCATCCAACACAAACATGTAGCAAAGCGTGCATCACAGTCCTTTTCAGATTGTTACAAAAGAATGGAGCCAAGGTTCCAGAATGACTGAGTCAAAGTCAGGACCTCTGACTGATTGAGAATCTTCAGTGAAGGCTGAGCACAAGACAAGGCCACAGAGTCGGCATTAGTTAGTACAATTTTACACGGAAAATGTTGGCTCAGCGACACAATTCTGTCAACATTACTACTGTTTAAAGTGGTTTCAGCTAGCTAATTAATTTCATTTTCCTTGTAAGGGTGTGAATATTTTTATTTAGAAATTTAGGAGTTCTACAAAAATATTTTTTTTGCTATAATTAATTCTTTAAAATGAAATAAAAAGAAAAAAAAGACTTTAAAGATAATAAAAAAATCATTTTTAGTGTGAACAGTATTGCAGATGGTGTTCCTTAGCTGCAGTCTAAGAACCAGCAAAGAACTCAAGTCTGACCATCACAAGAAGGGATCAGATATACAGAGCATAACTTGTGATTTCTTGAGATAATTAAATATCATCCATATTTGTCAAGATCCACAGTGCTTATTTCATGGTGGCTTCGAGTAATGCTTTAAAGTAATGCTTTAAAATATATACAGTACAAGATTGATTTGACGTTTAAACTTCTGTTTAAATTTCCTTAAGGCTAACCTATTGATTTATAGTGAAACTAAAGCTCTGAACCAGACTTGACAAGATATGTGATTTTGTGCCTTCTAATTATTTTATGTGAGCAATTTTAGAAATTATTTTTTCCCACATTTAAATTAGATGTTGATTGTACTTATATGAGAGAACTTCTCTGAACTCTGAACTTCTCTGAACTCTTCAGAGAACACGTCAGGGCTGTGAAGATTAAAGATCTCTCCAAGCCCATTGTTTCTCATTTCACCTCTGACGGCCACGACCACATAATCTCTCCGTCTGTGTTCTCAAAGACGGGTTTCCAAACTCATACATCAGAAAGACCACCGAAACTAAAATTATTCTGCAGTTAGGATCACACATTCTCCCTTCCCTTAACGACAGATTACTGTTCTTTTAAATTTTCTCCATTCATTGGAAGTTTCATTTCACACCTCTCTGCACCCATTCTGACTTCACACCTCTTGATTGGCCTTTCTTTCCCCTGCTCCCGCCTCTCACTCCTCCTCCCTCCCAACCTTTGTTCTCCCGCTACTTTACCTTTGCCTACTGCCCTGTCTCTCTCACACCTGAAGAAGGCTCCATGGCCGAAACGTTGTGTTCTCTTTCTTCTTTTTTTCAGCATGGAATAAACCTGTTACTTGTTCCTTTGCAGCCTACGCATGCTGACGCAGCTACCCACCTGAATATTTTACTTATGTTTCATACAATGTCCTCAGTACAAAAATCAAAGGGAATGTGTGTTAGGTTACAAAACCAAACTACAGTGAATTGGTGGGGGGAGGGGGCTCTCTAGGGCTCCATCAGCAAAGATGATTGTTTGGAGCTCTGCTGGGTGTCCAGGACATTGTTGGTTTGGATCTGAGTCATGGTTCCATCCAGCTGTGACCAAGTCTTCCCAAGTAGCGAAAACTCTTCCGGCAGGCTGAGACATACCTGACACAGGCGCTCTGACATGTGCATGGAGATCAATATATGCAAAAAATCCCCAGGCTTAAGCAACTGGTTATTCTACATTAGATAAACGTATAGTAAAAAAAACAACAACTGGCAGTTTATTTTTAAAAAAGTAATACATCAAAATGTGTGCAACTCTTTCCCAGATTTTAGTTACATTCTCCTAGGCAACTTCCAGAATATCTTCCTACCAGTTGATTATAAGTAGTGCTAACTTACTGGAAGGCTGTGATAAAATTCAGTCCTAAAGGAGAACTATGCCCTGAGAGAAATAGTGTGTAAGCAGATGAATACTCAATGAAGTGTAGTGTAAAATACTGAAATCCTTTCATCAAAGGTTTTAAAATCATTTAGGGGGAATATCATACAGTACAGCGGGAGGCTATTGTGAGGCTAGTGCTGTCATCTGAGCTGAAAGGGGGTTGATGCATTACTCTACCACGTAGTTCACTGTAGGATGTAGACACAGCCTCTTTACATTTTTGAAAGAAATCAAATTCTAAACTATGGCTCTCACACAGAAAGTTCAAAGGACCTGAAATTGTTTTTTTTTTCTTAAGTTACAAATAATAAAACAGGACACGGGAATCTGTAATCATTTTTCACGCAAACTCTCGCACCCTGAGTCGCCCTTTTTTATTTTAAAATTGTATTTAATGATTTTGTCTGTTGAAAATCCTTTCATGATTAGACAGTAGTGTGAATGAAAGCAAATGTGAGGAACTTTCACGGTCAGGTTTAAGCATCTGGCTGCATTTTCTTCCATGTGCATAAACAAAATTTAAAATGGTAAATGCATAATACGTATTTCTTACAAATCCTTAACTTTACATTTACCTTTCATACAATTTATATTTTATTAATTTAGTGCAATATCTTCCTGCACCTCTTATGTTGGAGAATTGTGAGGAGCAGGGATTGGTGGTGTTTGATACTGGGCATCAGACAGAAAAGGGCATGATCAATCATAAACCTGTCCCAACATAACCCAAGGCCACCAAAGAAACTCACTTCTCTTACCTCCTTACCATATACTGTACCCTGTATAATAAATCAGATTTAGAGAAAATGTCATATCACCAGCCATATAATGAATGTGTCTGGGACAAAATGAATGGTAGTGCTAAATATTTCACTTACAATTATTTAAATTAACCAGCACTCATTCCTCTCCTTCACATTGGAACTTATTTGAAATGGAGTATTGTATATTACCCTATTTCATGCCAGTGCATTCTTAAAAAAGGTTTAAACCTTTTCTGCTCTTTTAACCCTGCAAAGCCACAGGAAATAAAAATGATTAACTTGATATCACATATAAAATACAGGGCATCTTGAATAATGCAAATGGAAAATGTCCAATGTCCAATTTGGAATATCCAAATTCGTCCAACATCAGTCATGACCATTAAGATGGCATACATATGTCCAACAGTAACTTTTCTATATGTGCTTGTATACTTGAAAGTATCATCACAGAAAAGGAATTATTTCACATCATGCTTTTTAACCAGATTAACAAAACTTACAAGACTTTGATTCAGGTGATGGTGGGGAAATGTTGGACACAGCAAGGTCACTCTTGGATTTCTTAGGCTTTTTTGGGTGGATCTGCCATGGCTTCTCATAACTTCTGAAATCACGCCTGGTTCCTTTATTTTCTGAAACAAGAAGCAGTTTTGAAGGAAGGATTCATCTCCTATCCTTGTACTGTGCAGCACTAACACAGTTTTTGCTGGATGAATTTCTGCTGTAAATATCCAACATAGGATTTTAATGCATTGTAGACGGATGTGGAGTGGAGACCAAATAAACAGCTCTCCAGTACACTTTTATTTTTAACATGGTGAAAAAAACTGCAACACAAAATCCAGTGGTGCGCAGCAAATGTTTTTTATTTATTTAGGCACTAGGTATATTTTGCCTGTGTGAGTAAGTAATTGGGGAAGGCAATTCTTTTTTTGTCAATTCTTTTAGATGAGTTGTGATACACTATAAACCCAATTACCTATTGTTCTGTATACAAATATAAAACAGTTTTTTTATTCTTTTCAATTTCCAGCATTGTATTAATATCTGCTGTTCTTGTAAGAAGCAATGCCTCAGAATATGCTGCTGCTGTATACATCTACAATAATTCATCAGTAGATAACACAGTATATTACACATCCTTTATTACTTTTGATGTGAATATATTTGTTTGCAATGCCCTCAAATTTATATTTTGTTCCAGCTGTTATTTCTTATATAGATTATAAATAACATCTCTATTATTAATTTCTGGAGTTTGAACTTCTATGTGTTAACAAGCAAATGGTCCCTTATTTAAAAAAAAGACAGAAATAATGGATGTGATCCACAAGTCTGTAGAAGCTTTCTTCAAAGAAGATAAGTGCATCAGCCTGCCAGGTTAAATGATAAGAAATAAATACTCAATCCAAAATGACAACTGAAAAAAGTCAACCCACTTTAGCACAGATGAAATTTATGTTTTTCTGAAATCTAAAAAGAAGAAGAAAGCACCACTATAGCTGACTTGCTTCTTACTTTTCTGAAATGTTTGATGGGTCCTCAGGGGACTGGGAGGTACATTTTTACAAGTAAACAATTTAATAACAATTGAATATACAGCAGGAATAAATATAAAAATCCAACTGAATTAAAATCAATACTTTAAAATATGAATAAAATAAAGAGGAAACTGGTTTACAGTCATCTGCATAACAACAACACTACATAACAAAGAAAAGAAATTGCAAGCACAAACGAGGATTTTAAAAAGCTCTTGAAAAAGTCAGCAAAATTGAGGTAGAACAACTGCTTCACTGTCATTTCCATTTCGTTCCATTTTAAACCAGTCAATCATAGTGTGAAGTTCTTTTCTGAAAGTGATCATCAACTTTGTAAAGATACCTGACATAACAAAAGTGAAAGACAACTAACATTTAACACCCCAGGTCATTTTCCCTCAATTCCATGAGCTGCAAGATGAGAAAGACAAATGTATCAGGGCCCACCTGTTGTCCCAGTATCAGCCCACAGGGCGGCCGAGCCAGACAGTGTTCTCTGTAGCTTGCTGGGGCTGCCTTGCTTAGTCTGCAGGTGATTGATGAGAAAAGGAATAGGATGATCTGGGGTCTCAGTTATCAGTTTGGTCATCATTTCCTATCAGAGCAAAATAAAAAAAAACTCAGAATGACCGACAATCTGCAGTTTTGACGAGAGTGAGGTAGCGTTTACATAGAACATTCGTGAAGTATGTTAGTGTGTCTTTGCTGTAATATATAAATAAAAAATACCGTACATGTTTTTCACCATGTTTTCAGCTAAAACCTTAGGGATGTAAACAGAGCTGTCCATCTGCCACCTCACAGAGGGGCATCCAAAGCTTTTAAAGTCTAAAGAGATCAGATCTCAAATGGAAGAATCACCCTTTCTTTCACTGCAGTGCAAAATAAAGGCATTTCCATTTAAAGGCACAATAGGTACTTTTGAACATAAAGTCAGGGAAAAAGATCTGACTATAAGCTCTCTGTCCCATCTGTCTAAAAAGGCCAGTCAGTTCTGAAACCACAGACTGTGGATGTGACTAAGAGAGACTTTGAGTGATCCCAGTCCACTAGTTTTCATCAGTCATATTACAAAATCCTGAATTCCAAATTCCGGTGTCCCTCTGGTTCTACAAGAATATTTGAGTCACCAAGATAAAATATGTGCAGGTCTGCCATTTTTTTTTCCAAAACAACAACAAAAAACACAGTCTGTATTAATGCAGTGGTAGTAAGGAGAATTCGTCTTGTTACAGTATATTGGGAATTAACAAACCCCAGCTGACTGAACCAACTGTGGTTTGCAACACCAAAGGTCATAATTCTGCAGAAGCCGCAGGCCTCTGAGTACTTACACAGTCAGCACTGCAGCTGAGACTGCTTGCATGGGAAGGACAATCCAATCATTCAGAGGGGAAGACAATTGGGAAGAATCATTCTATTCCCTAAAGACTATGACTCGTTTAACTTGCAGATAGCAGAGCAAATTCAGGATTGCAAGCAGTGTTCATTTTCTTCCTGGTCTTTTCTCCTAAGAATGTGCCTAACTTCTGGGTCCAATGCCCTGTTCCATCAAATCCAAGGTGTACTTAAATCAACCTCAAAGCTCTAAGAATTTTTATTGTAACATTGTGCCTTTCATGACATACTGTATCATTACAAGGCTTACAATAATCTGTTACAATAATAGAAAACAGATAGGGTCACCCAAATTCTAAAGTGTAGAAAAGAGAGCTTTAAGACAGAATGTGAAACTGACTGACACTATAGACCTAACAGGGGCTGAGAGATCATTCCACAGCCTTGGTGCAGCAGCACAGAAAGCATAGTCTCCCAGTGTTTAAAGCCTCACTTTGTCATCGGAAACAAGGCCAGATTCCAAAAAGTGCAAACAACATGGAGATATCGAGGGAATTAACAGTCCACTGATGTTGACAGAAGACATATAGTTCATGCTCATAAAAGTGAACAGAAGCAATTCAGAGACAGGGTTAAAGGACAGTTAAAGGATGCCACAACAGAAGATATAGTTAAGACAGCACTGTGTAGCTCTGACAGGACCGTGGCACACAAGACAATTTTCAGCTCACAATCTTTTTGCAACTGCTGTAAGTCGGCATCTTACTGAAATGTGTAACCCAAAATCTAAAACAACTAACAAAACAATTTAATTAGACACATGCAGTATACTGTAGGATGTGTGTAAAGGTCTTCTACAGTTGTTTTACCCAAAACATTAATGTTTTTAAAAGTATATTTACCTACAAAACATTGTGGAGCCAGGTTATAAATATTCCAGTTATGCAGATAATTAAATAATTACATCCATAATGTTACTGAGAGCTCAGTTGGAAAAAATGCCAGGCCCTGCAGTAACTGAGTTTGATAGTCCTGGTCTAAACTTTAATGCTGGGAGACCGAAGCTTGCTTTCCCTTTTCTAACCTATGGGAGAGCACCTTCTCAGTATTATCTTATAGACACTGAACCGTTCTGACCCCTTTCTGACCTACTGGGGAGTTGCCATTCTGCATAATTTTATGAGAAAGCAAACTGTGCTGCACCCTTTCTAACCTACCGTGTAAGAAATGACCTCTTCCCTGGTCTATCCATTATCCCCATGCCTTCACTGTGATTAGTCTAACTAATCTAACAATTACACAGTTTCTCCTGTGTTCTTCACTTATTTATAGAGAAAGCTAATCGAAATCGCCAGCAGCAGATTGCCTACACTACTTTCTCTAAATACCTGTATTTGTTGTCTCTAAACACACATCTTGGATAAAATGCTGCTCCACTTCAAATAAAACAGAAGAGCTAAATACCTCTTTTTGTATTTATTATAAATGGTATCAAATATATTGCAATATACTATTTGGGATGGTGCGGTGGCTCTGTGGCTAAGGATCGGTGCCTGTGACTGGAAGGTTGCCGATTCGTATCCCGCGGCCGGCAGAGGAATCCGACTCTGTTGGGCCCCTGAGCAAGGCCCTTAACCCCAACTGCTCCAGGGGCGCTGTACAATGGCTGATCCTGCGCTCTGACCCCAAGCTTCTCTCCCTGTCTGTGTGTCTCATGGAGAGCAAGTTGGTGTATGTGAAAAAGGCAAATTCCTAATACCAGAAATTTTATATGGCCAATAAAGTGATCTTAAATCTTATTTAACATTTTTCATGGAGATTATTAAAAAATCAAAGTACAAAGGAAATCGAATGAATGTCCCAAGCAGTCAGAAAAAAGCAGAGGTGAGGTAAAGCATTCATCTTAAAGCTGTAATATTTCCTATCATAAAGTCCGTCTACACTTACAAAAAGAAGAAAAAAGAACAGTAAATCTAATTTGACTTCTTATACAATGTCAAACAGTCCTCTCCACACAGAATGAAAAATGCTTCTCACAACAGCATGCAAATTATACTGTCAATAGTGTGGCACAAAAAATATTTGCTGGCATTTTCATAAATAAATTTGAATTATTTTTGCAAGCAATAAAAGGCAACATCTGATTCATTATTCTCTCAGCTTTTTTTTACAGAAATGTCAAAGTTTTAGAAAGGTGAAGGATAGAACATTTATTTCAGAGAAAACAGTTAAAGAGCAGAGCCTAACCACAGAACGTATAGTACATCTGACAAAGTTATCAGTTCTGAGTACAAATTGAGCTAAAAATTAACCACACATGTTTGGATCTATCACCCTTTAGACTGCTGGCTTCACTGAAGATTAATTTTAAATTTCTCCTGTCATTTCTCTCTTATAAAAAGTTATCATCAGGGAAACGGTAATCTTTTTTGGCAGAGGTGCACTAACATTTAACTGCAAAGACATGACATATCACCAGGTTGCAAATATAGGAAAAAAGCCTGATGAGCAGGACATCAACCGCATCACCAATTAATATACCCCTGCCTCAACCAGCATACTTCAGTTTCCATTTTGATTAGTCCTATTGTTATTCGGATATCGTTCTACGTATCCGCGTCACAATGCCTGATGTCCGAGATGGTGTCCTACACAAAACTTTGATTCACTCCTAACACGACTTGGCTCCTCTGGAGGAAGAGTCCACCTATAGTGACTTAATCCAGCCTCCAGCCCACTGATGGCACAAAAGCAATGTTATCTTTTTAAGAGGGAGATCGTTTCTTTTCTGTGTTTTTCACCAGGCTCACCATTCAACAAGTCAAATAACCTCATCTCCATTGGGGAATCAGCTTTTTCACTAATGAACTCATATATGGCTTTTAGGACAGTCAAAGTCCCTTGACTACATTACAGCCAGTCATGAATCATTGATTAATAAAAATGATGTCAAACATTACATGTAATAGTTTTCCAAAATTCATATCCTTTATTTGACATCATTTTAATTTATTTCAATTTACTTTCTGCCCTACTGCAGTACGCATCCTTAACAGCTAATTGCAATGCTTCAGACTCGATGCACATTTTTGCATGATCTACCTTGTTTCTCCACAGCTACATATTTATTGCCCTCTACAACATATTTACTGTTCTGTTGTTATTATCTATTTTGTTTGTAATGTACTGTCAACTTTGTTGTACTGTGTATGTCCTGAGAGATCAACATGAGTAAGAAATCCAATGAACACGTACATACGGACGTAAACTCCTCTAAGCCTACTTCTAATTTATTTTTCTAAATGCTGGTAGAACCTGGTGACATGAAGATGTGTGGCACAGACGTGTGACATGAAGATGTGTCTTAACATCCTCACACAGCCTGGTAGCTGCATGATTTTAAAGAAACAGTGAGTCATGGAGCCAATAGTGAAACAATTGCAATAAAATAGTATTCTCTATACCTGCAATCAAATTAAATGATTGCACCTTTCAGTTAACCATCTTCTTATCAGAAATCTTTAATATCTTGATTGTGCAAAGCTGAATATGCAGTGATGACAAGCTATCACCAGAAGGCATGACTGCAGAAAACAAAAACGATTCTTCCGGAAAACAGGGTGTACTGCAATAAATAATCCCTGGTCAGTCAGTTTCCTCATTCCTTGGGCCTAAGTGAATTATGCACATTTACGATGAAAACAGGCAATGCCTGCCTCACTCAGGGAAATTAGACCACACAGAGGAAACACAAATACTCATCGAATTATAAAAGACACCTAATATGATTTGTGATACTAATGATAGTGCTGAAACTTGTTTTTATGCTTTTCATAAGTCAACATGCATTTCTATTTATAATATTAACATGCTGTTAAAATAAAAAAAAAGATTATTCATGTCAAACATAGCTCAGCTCATATTTTCAGTTGAATTCCATGAGAAAGTAGTTGGGGAGACAAAGATGAATAGCTGTATTTACATTTATTTAAAATAATAAGACCATTTTGGTTTTAACCTGTAGTACACTTCCTCATTCCATGCTACAATGATTTAGACTAAATCTTGCTTCACGAGAAAGCTGTGCTCATGAGATTAACAGGCACTAAGGGGGGAGTTTTAGAGATGCCATAATTAAATCAAACTGAAGCAAACGGAAGAACCTCAGCGCTCACAATGTCTTCTGTCTGAATTACACATTGCAAAACAATTGACTCCCGGAAACAAAAACAAAAAAACAAAAAACCTGCAAATTTC